CCTTGAATAGCCATTTGAAGGTTACGTAAAGGTCAACTTCAATTTCTTAAATGGAACACTATATTTTAAATAATAATCCTTAAGGTTGCCAGTAATAATTAATAAAAAACCACTCTCAATGTTTAAAGTCGACCAGACTGGCAATAATTTATATAAATAATTATTTGAAATACAACAACGTTTCGGCTGTCATTGCAGCCCTTTTCAAGTACATATATAAAAGTTCCATCAAAATAATTATAATTTAACAATGCAAAATTAATACCTAATCAAACCATCACATACCAATGTTCAAGCTCGTATATGACAAAAAAACAATGATAAATTATTAAATTAAGGCCATGTGTAACGAGCATACGAAATTATTTTATTATTTAGAAGAAAATTCTTAATTTGACATAATAATTACACAAACGTTTCGAGCTCTACTTGCTCCTCTTCAGTGCGCAAAAAAATAATGATAATAATACCCATAATAAATAAATACATACATAAAGTTCTAATAAAAAATCCGCAATACATAGTCAATATAAGTTATATAGTTAAGTCATAGTTAAAACGCAAAATATATTTACAATGAATTGAAACCATTAAAATAGTTCAACAAAGTAAGAACCCAATTAGAAGCAGAATGATTCGTCCGGTTATTCATAAAATATTTTAGAATTATTAATAAAAACTCGGAGTGACACTTATACATTGCTCCAAACGAACCACTTATCGTTATTTGACGAAAGTCCCTCGATCTGGCAATGATTATGTCCATCCTCTCCAAATTATTTGATATTTGTTAACTGAATTTAGAGAATTTCTTCAATTGTAAAATAGGATTCCACTAATGTGTATGTAAAAAAAGATTAAAAATTACAAATTAAACTAAATACTAAAATATTGAACCTTTATGCTTACAAATTGTTCCGAATACTTGAGATGACGATGCTTCTAATTGTTGGGCCTTATTGTTAGTACTTGACTGTTGTCTAGTTTTTTAAAAAGTCGAATAAATAGGTGTCAGATCTCACAAAATAAACATTTACATAAGTCTAAAAATTCGATATTTCTTCTAGAATGTCGAAATACGCGTTGTTAAGCAATTCGGTGTCTGTGTTATTATTTATACCATGCCTTTGTTCCTTGATGTGTGTATCATTTCCGAGATAAGTCTTTTATAATAATTAGATTCAATATCAAGTATTTAACGTTATCCCAATCAAAAGCATGTTTTTATTTATAATATGTTCAGAGACCACAGAATGCTTGGAGGAATCAAATTTAATATTATTCATATGCTCTTTTAGTCTAGTGCGTAATTTTCTTTTGGTTTGCCCACATACGAAGCTTCACAATCCTTACAATTAATTTTGTAGACAACATTATTATTATTGTTATGCACGTTTTTGTCCTTGTGGACTTTAATAAATTTGTTAAGATTATTTAGACAACGGTATCCTACTCTGAAATCTGATTTTTTATTGTCGATGCTATTGTCTCAGAAATGTTATTAATGTATGGAATGACGAAAAATTTTTTCTTGCTATTATCTTCTGCAATTTCTTTTTTTCTATTGTTGTTAAACTGTCCATTGTTTAAAACTCTTATTCTCTTATTTATTTCTTTAAAGATCAAATGAATAGGGTAACCGTTGTCCAATAATATTTTAATACACAGTTCTAAATTTTTCTTATGATATATGGGATGAGATAATAACAATGCCCTATTAATAAGATTATAAATTACTCCTATTTTATGGCACATAGGTGACTCGATAAAAAAGATAGTACTCTACCTGAACATGTCTTTTTTTGAAACCAATCTAAGTGTATGACGTTATTTATTATTTTAATGTTTAAATCTAGAAAATTTATGCTTCTATTAATTTCGTATTCAATCGTAAATTGTATAGTCGTGATTGTAACTATTAAACTTATTCAGTACACTATCAATTTTATTCTTTGGTGCCACCATAATAATGTCGTCTACATATCTATAATATATTCCAATACCAATGTCCAATTCATTAATTATTGATTCTTCAAGATCTTGCATAACAAATTAGCAATTATTGGCGACAACGGGGAACCCATAGGTGTGCCATAAACTTGCTTGTACAATGTCATTGAATGTGAAGTATGTTGACGACAATATAAATTAACCATGGAAATGAATTCATTTTTTGGAATTAATGTATGTGTATGATATAATTCCATCTATTGCTCACACTTTCTATTGCAAGATCTATCGGAATGTTAGTAAATAGTGAAACCACGTCTAATGATATTAGAATATCTTCCGCACCAATTTTCCTACCCTCTAGCTTTATTATAATTATAATTTAATACACATATTCGCAACAATTAATTATACATTTAAAAACAAAAATGTGTTACATACCAAATTTAAAACAGTAAATCAACTTCTATGCAAACTACCGACAATGTTAACGCTTGTTTTGATGAACAATGCAAGACTGACAGAAGTAAGCACATATTAAATAGATGTTAACTGTTCGCAAGAATCTTAGTCACTAAGCGTTAAGAAGATAGAGACGAAACTTAGTCAACTTCTGTCAGTCTTGCATTGTTCATCAAAACAAGCGTTAACATTGTCGGTAGTTTGCATAGAAGTTGATTTACTGTTTTAAATTTGGTATGTAACACATTTTTGTTTTTAAATGTATAATTAATTGTTGCGAATAAGTGTATTAAATTATAATTATTTTGATGGAACTTTTTATAGATGTACTTGAAAAGGGCTGCAATGACAGCCGAAACGTTGTTGTATTTCAAATAATTATTTATAATAAATTATTGCCAGTCTGGTCGACTTTAAACATTGAGGAGTGGTTTTTTACTATATTTTTTCTTGCATACTTTTGTAGCTGACTTCGAGATCTTTCCAAACACACTACAATAAAATATTTTTTTATAAAGTATTTTTCGAGTTATTAAGGCTGCAAATTTGCAGTATTTTGACATAAAATACAAAATATCTTGGGAAATATTCATTTTTCGATTATCATACCTTAATACTTTTATGCACAGAATAATGAGACGAATCAATTGGTGTAAAGAAAACACATAGTTGTCTTAAAGAAAAAATTATCTAACTGCTTATTGCAATTTTCATATTTTTTTTTAAAGGTAACTATGTGTTTTTTTTACATCAACTGATTTATCTCATTATTCTGTGCATAAAAGTATTAAGGTATGATAATCGAAAAATGAATATTTCCCAAGATATTTTGTATTTTATGTCAAAATACTGCAAATTTGCAGCCTTAATAACTCGAAAAATACTTCATGAAAAAATATTTTATTGTAGTGTTTTGGAAAGATCTCGAAGTCAGCTACAAAAGTATGCAAGAAAAAATATAGTGTTCCATTAAGAAATTGAAGTTGACCTTCACGTAACCTTCAAATGGCTATTCAAGGTCAAATCAATGACACCATCTCATGTCCCCTTGAAACCATACAACTTTTATCTGAAACATTTTTGTCTTAAATTTTTGGATTTTGAGAAATTTTAGTGGAAAGATTAAAATGACCTACCTGTATATGCTTGGAAAAATTTTTCCCGCATAAACTCTGCGCTAGTGATACACAAATTTCAACTACTTTTTTTCAAACTCATTATTGAAATTTAATGGTACACTTGCGTCGAATACGTGAGTGCGCGAGAGACGAAATTCAAAAATGTAACTAACTAACTTACTCCGAGAGCCGTATTTATACGAGTTTATGAAAATCAAGATAAGGAATTTTCAGGTATCTTTTCTCGATTTTATTTTATTTTATTTATTTTTTTTATCTTTTTTCTCGTAGCCGTGTATTCTTACCCGTGTTCTATATATATTATATATATGGTAATATGTACTTACAAGGAAAGGGTCGGAAGTGTCCCCCTCCGATTTTAATGAGCTTTGAATATGTTGTAGTCTAGATCAAAATAGAAGACACGTATTTTTTTATAAGTGCTAATTTGGCCGTTAAGGGGGTGAAACACCTTCTTGAAAAAAATCGATTTTTTCATTTCTCAGCAAATACCGTCGAAGCGATAAGAGATATAAAGAAAAGTTTTATGGTTTTTAATGTACTTCAAAATCATGTAATCAGATTTGTCGAAAATGTCATATTTTTCGAAATTTCCCCCCCCTCCCTTTCAATGTTTGAAAATTTTTAAATTTGTCTCATAACAAAACTTATAGCTCATTTAACGACAAATTCAATCATATATAATAAAGTTGTATTCCGAAGTCGCATTTTTCAGAAATAAATTAAAAATATCCCTATACACTACTATACGCCCGCTTTATCCGCCTCATGACGCTTGTTATTCACAGCGACAGTTATTTTTCTTCGCAAACTCACAGAGGCAACCATAAATTAGCAATAAATAATTTATGAAAATATATTTTTATAAATTATAGAAATTATATTTATAAATATAATTTATAATTATATAATATATATAATTATAATATATATATTATGTGACAATAAATATACATATAATTTATATGGAAAAGAAATGTTTTAATGCATGAAAAATAAAACTAGTCGGACAAGGAAAATTATTGATCAGATGTCGAGGTTAATAGATCCAATTCTATGAATAAACAGATGTCGCATTCGCGAAATGAGTTGGTGCAATATATTATTTTATTAACAACTGCATGCAGTGGAACACATATTACTATTAAAGCGTCTATCGAATATACGCGAGCGCGATAGTAAATATATTTATATATATAATAAAATAATTAAAAGGATTATAACTTATAAAGCAAGCGAAAAAATGCGTCGGGATAAGAAGGTCAGTTGCCCGAAGTGCTGATACAGCCAGTATCACACGGCCAAGTCATCAAATAGAGAAAGAAATCACTCTCGAAATAGCGCTGAATTGCAATAAAATGCGAGGAAGGAAGTCTTTGGACTTCCTTCGCTTGCATTTTGATCACGCCACTTTAGAAATAACTGATGATTTTATTCCACCGCGTCATGCCACCGCGCGATTCCCCTCCGATAATCGTTCAGAACCGGAGGCGTTAAAAATCACCGCCTAGAAGCGGCGGACAGTCACAAATCAGTTATCAAATAATTAACAAGTGCTCGAATTAATTAACAAGACTAGCCGTTATCCTGAAAAAACAATTGTGCCCCACGCACACAACAATACAGTATGTATGTACTTTTTCGATTTTAAAACTTTTATAGTTTTTGCTTTTACTTACACTTTATTCAAAATTGCGGTTTATCTGTTTTGTTTTAATGTATTTAAATTATAATTAATATTTTATTACTTTATTTAAGTTATTATAAATTATGTGATAAAACAGTGTTCTATTTTTCATGAAACTCGGAAAACATAACAAATTATTAATACGCATTAAATAATAAAATATTTTTGTTGCTAATAAGTATTTTTTTGCTAATATTTATAAAACAAATATACATAATGTTAATAATTTTTTAGATAATGTTTAATCCAAGAAATGTAGCAGTGCTGCTATACACTGCACTGTATATGACTGGGGAATTCCCAGAAAGTCCTGTTACAACAGATGAAAATGAAACAAAAGACATGTTGGAAAATACACTTTGATCAATGTATGAAGAAGCGTTTGAAGTTTATGAAGAATCATCATTAGATTTTCAAAACGAATTTGATATACCTGAAGTAGAACCTGTAATTGATGAAGAAAGAGAAGGTGACACATATTTTGTAAAAGAAATTGAATGTGTTGCGGATTCTGTACCAATAGAATATAAAAGAAATGCAGTAGAGTTTTGGAGAAATGGAACAAAAAAGTCAAGAACTCTTGCAACTATAAGAAATAGATTTCGGAAAGTCACGTCATTACGTCAATTAAGAAGATGGGAGCAGCAAGTAAATCAAAGTGGCAGCAGATTTGATAAACTGAAAAAAATTTCAACATATACGTTAAATAAATTCCATGAAGGTATTGAAAAGGGAATAATTATTCATGACATTGATATTGCTCGATGGGCTATTCGCGCACAGAAGGAAGTAAATCTACTTGGGTTTACAGCATCATTATCATGGGTAAAAAGGTTTAAGCTTGCACATAATATCGTATCTAGAAAAATTACAAAATTTATAACAAAAAAACATTTAGCGTCAGACAAAGATTTAGAAGCACGAAGCAAGTCATTTATCGAAAATGTTAAATCTTTTATTATACAATATGGAATTGAAAATGTATATAATTCGGACCAAAGTGGATTTCAATTAGAATTTCATTTCGGTCGTTCACTATCACCTATTGGTATTAAAAAAGTAGAGCGCATAGTACAATCCATATCAGCAACTACACATAGTTATACTATACAACCTATTGTTTCAGCTGATGGTAGATTATTATCGCCTCTGTTTATTGTTTTAAAAGAACCTACTGGAACATTTGTAAAAGAAACAATGTTTAAAGATAATAATATCTTTGTCATGGCATCAAAATCTGGAAAATTAACATCGCATCATTTTGAGATCTGGATAAAAGAAGTGTTTTTTCCAAATGTTGGACCAAAATCAGTGTTATTATTAGATTCTTGGACTGGTCATTGTCCTGATATAATTCAAAGAAACAAACCAGATTTTATAGACAATATTAATTTGTTAACTATACCAGCTGGAGCAACGGGAAAAATACAACCTTTAGATGTATTCGGTTTTCGTTTATGGAAAAATTTTGTTAGACATTTTTCAGATACCATCATGCTTTTAGATCTTGACGTCAAGCTTCATTCAAGAAACAATATTTTAAAATTACAATCATTAACACATAATCAATTTTCATCACCAAGGTTTAAAAATTTATTCAAATATGCATGGTATAAAAGTGGTTATTTAGAAAAGAAACCAGAAGAATTTGATACACCAGTAGATTTTTGTTTCAAAATTAATTTAAAACCAACATGTGATATTTGCGGTGAAATTGCTGTAATTTCTTGCGCATGGTGTAAAAAATCCCTTTGTATAAATCATTTCTTTCATGATCATCATCTTTGTAACCGATATCAACCATGAATATTTTTTATTCTTGTATGCAATAATTATGTACGGTATTTTATGTAATATTTCCATATACCATACATATATATAATGACTTAATAATGTAAGACAATGTGTATTACATTTACTTTATACTTTAAGAAATTAAATATTATAAAACAGAATATTTTGATGAGTAAAGTACTCTATTTCTTTCAAGTATGTAATGTATGTTGTATATGAGCAAGGATGTTATCTGCAAAAATGTATAAATTAAAATATAGTAACATATAAATATGTTTTATTTATAAAACTTTTAACAAAAAAATGTATATTATTCGAGAAGGTCGCCGTAGCAGTTACCTGCTGATTTTCGCTCGCAATAACAAGGCTATTGTCTCGACAACGAACAACACAACACGCTCAAATAACAGGGGATATAATAAAATTTAGACAAATAACCTGTCTCGACAACACGCATGACGAGACATAAACATGTCGGTAGGATATACTTATTTTATATTAACGGTAAAACTTCTTAATTCCTACATATATATTATATAATTATAAATTATATTTATAAATATAATTTCTATAATTTATAAAAATATATTTTCATAAATTATTTATTGCTAATTTATGGTTGCCTCTGTGAGTTTGCGAAGAAAAATAACTGTCGCTGTGAATAACGAGCGTCATGAGGTGGATAAAGCGGGCGTATAGTAGTGTATAGGGATATTTTTAATTTATTTCTGAAAAATGCGACTTCGGAATACAACTTTATTATATATGATTGAATTTGTCGTTAAATGAGCTATAAGTTTTGTTATGAGACAAATTTAAAAATTTTCAAACATTGAAAGGAAGGGGGGGGGGGAAATTTCGAAAAATATGACATTTTCGACAAATCTGATTACATGATTTTGAAGTACATTAAAAACCATAAAACTTTTATTTAAAACTTTTCTTTATATCTCTTATCGCTTCGACGGTATTTGCTGAGAAATGAAAAAATCGATTTTTTTCAAGAAGGTGTTTCACCCCCTTAACGGCCAAATTAGCACTTATAAAAAAATACGTGTCTTCTATTTTGATCTAGACTACAACATATTCAAAGCTCATTAAAATCGGAGGGGGACACTTCCGACCCTTTCCTTGTTAGATACACAAAATATTTAATCTAGGGCGATATTTACTTAGCCACAAAAAGTTTATGAAAATTAAGATGAGGAATTTTTAGGTATCTTTCTCGATTTTATTTTATTTTATTTATTTTTTTATCTTTTTTTTCATAGCCGTGTATTCTTATCCATGTTTTATATATATATATATATATATATATATATATATGGTAATGTTTACTTAGATACAGAAAATATTTAATCTAGGGCGTTATTTACTTAGTTACAAAAAGTTTATAGAAATCAAGATGTGAAATTTTCAGGTATTTTCTCGATTTTATTTTATTTTATTTATTTTTTTATCTTTTTTCTCATAGCCGTGTATTCTTATCCATGTTTATATATATTATATATATATATATATATATATATACAATCTTGTTTCTAGATTAACACGTTATGGGACAAATTATAATTATATCTTTATTAAAAAATGGATTCGAATGTAACCACAGAAGAAATGGCCCAATTAGTGCTTAAACATAGTTTTGCATTAAGTACAATAACTTGTCGTGCACTAATTTCAACAATAATTCATACGGATGAGGTTTTTTTAGCCAAACAATATATAATTATGCAGTGGGCATAGGTATATATTCAACAGTAAAGGAAAAAAAATGTATGATTTATTTATAAATTTATATAATAGAGAGAAAAAAAATATATAATCTATCTTAGTTCATTAAAAAATTTTTCTGATACCAAAGTATACTTTTTTTTATTCTCAACATTTTAATTAGATAAATATTGAATTATTTGATATTTTATTTTATTTTGTTCTGTCTTTGATACAGTTGTTGCCAGTAATACACATTGTTATAAATACCGACTTAACAGAGGAAGGAAATATATCTTTTATTCCGGCAATTGTTAGAAAATCTTATAATGAACTATGGACATGCGATTGAATTTGCTAAACCTACACAAATCAAGGTGTACTACATTTTGGAGGTGAGTATTTACAAACAGAATTTTTCTCTAAAGAACAAAATTAAATTTCTAGAACATTCACATATTTGATGCAAAATGTATACAATGAAATGATCTTTCTTTCTATCTCGTTGATTTATTTTTTGTATTGCTTACTTCTTGCATTACTCTTCCATTACTTTACATTTGCGTAATCCTATTAATTTACAGATAAAATCAAAAAACAGTTTTATTGTGCCACATTGCAACACCATCATAATAATCAGACTATTTTAAAGACAAAGGCATTAATTAGAACTGTCTTAAGAAAAGTTGATCCACCTATATCATTAGTACCAAGGGGTAAGGTAAAGGTAGAATAGGTAAGCTACAGAGTAAAAGCCTTATAAATTATTTGAAATCAGAACATTGTAATTAAAATTATACTTATTCATAAACGATAGTGGAACATGGAAGCAAATTGAGATCAAGTAGAAATTAGAAATTAATTTTCAATGTTTATTATTTAAGATAGAAATAATTTTAGTAATCCCAAAACAAAAATTTTTAAAGAAATATTTTGTTTTATTTAACGTAATACACCTATGCACTTTATGTATTTGAATTAAAATTATAATTTAATTAAAATTGAGAAAATTTTTAATTATAAAAATCAATATACATAAAGTGCATCGATTTCATGTATTTAACTCAATAATTCTGTTGAAGCTATTGTTTTTAATATGGCGCCATTTTTAGAAGTATTTTTTTGTTTTTCCATCCATGTTATCTACATATTATATAACGTTATAAGTTATATATATATATATATATATATATAGATATTATATTAATATATAATAATATTGTCACAATATATATATATTA